GTTTAACTGTACAAATTTTTCTTCATTGTAGTGGCTTATGTGTTCTTGGTTTTGTTTTTCAGAGCAGTGTACATAACAACTTGGCTGTTGCTCTTTGCAATGAGATATTGCTTGATTCTGACCCATACAATATTCAGGTACTTCTGCGAGCTCTCACTCAACTTCAACTTGTCCTGGATGATGAAATTGTACTTCAGAATATCAGCACAGTGGTAGAGAAAGTGGCCGAGGTAACAACACAATTGATTGTACGAGATAAATGCCTGATGAGAAATATATTGGATATATTTATTCTTCACCTAGTATTGTTAGAGTGATTAAATACAGAAGAATGTAGGAAGGGATGAGAAATGCATGTAAGATTTGGGTTGTAAACCTCAAGGAAAGGGACCACTTGGGAGATGTAGGGTGCAAGATAATATTAAAACAGGATATTGGCACTAACTTCGCCGACAAGCAGCGGTCGCTCGGTCGGTATAGTTCGCTTGCAGACTAAAGCCACGGAGTTAGTTATATATGAAGGGTATGTCCTGGACTCAGGTGTCTAAGGATATTGTAACATGTAGGGTGCTACGTGTCACAAGAATGACGGGTTCTAGTTCGGATAATTGGATTTATTAGTACCTTGGTTACAACATCTCTTAATCACATTTAGTTACAGCGCTGTCACTGATTGCACAGTTCATAATTCACTGCTACACACAGACACTAGTCCCCACCTGGTAATGCAATTAAAACACAGGAATAAGCACTTCAAATTACTCCAAATATTACACATGAATAAAGTCTTCAAATCACACATTAAGTCTTCAGAGGTCTTCTACGAACTTCCCATGGCTGTCTCCTATCGAGAACTCAACTGAACTGCTGGTATTATTCTCATTATATAGCTTCCACAGGGACCACACACAGAAAGGAGCCTTTAATGTTGGAGAGGAGTGTTTACCGCAGTGTTGCATAACAACGGTTGTGGCATGAACTCCAGCCATCTCGCCAACCCATTGGCCTAGCAATGAACTATAAACACCCATCCTATTGTTGAGTGAGCTTACACAACTGAAGATTGTTTATGGGTTGTTGCCTAGAAATGCTCTGACCATCCATGTTACAGTATGGTCCTGCTGAATATGGTAATAAACTTTCAGGTTCCATAAAAGCAGAGGATTTTCTAACCAGCTGAGTAACTATTAAGTTTTTGAGAAAGACTTACATAAAAAATGAGTTCTTAAAGGAGGATAAAGAAGAACTGAAAGGCTTTTTTCTTTATATAGAAATAATTGTATCATAGAATAATGTATTTGGTTGAATAGGCTATATTGAACTGTTGCATATACACAACACATCATTGATGTTGTTCTCTTCTAGTTATTCACTAATCATGTCATGCTCACCATATACTGGACATAAGTCAGTTAATAAAATGACAGGTTATGTTGTATATCATATTACACAAGTTGGTGCATGGTCATTTGCATGCATGTCAGTAACACTTTTGTGTTTCAGTCTATTAAAGACAGATCCTGTCTCCGATACATACACAAATTCCAACACATGCTTGCTTCTGGCAAGTTCAGCTTGACAAGAAGTGGTACAACTGCCAACATGGAGACACCCACTGGCTCTTCTGTCATCACAAATGTTGATCAGCAAACTGTTAACAGTCCTGAGGTAATCTGTTGTTGCTTGTCAAAGGTAACCTAATGCTGCAGTTCAGTCACATGTGAGAATGAGAATTTTCTTTAATGGAACAATTTTTTAATTCTAATCACAATTCGTAATGAGAGCTAGGATAGCACACTAGATATAGCAATTGGCTATGTGCTGGATGACCAAGGTGTCAGAGTTTGAGTCCCAGTGGGGACAAGAGTTTTCACTTCTTCATGTCATCTAGACCAGTTCTGGGCCCACCCAGCCTCCCTTCTAATGGGTACCGAGAGCGTTTTCCCCAGGGGTATAGTGGATGGGAGCTGATCACTCACCTCTAACTAGTCCTGAGGTCAAGAAAACTTGGGTTTATACATCCACTCCCCCATACATCTTCATGGAATAGTGCTTAATAAGTCAAGCGCAGGGACAAATTTATCTTTTACTTTTAATCACAATTTATAGCACTACCCCAAGTTCTCACAGTGCACTAAAGTGTAGTGTCATATTTACTGAAATGGAAGTCTACTCTGAATATAAGATGATCCTGCAATGTCTTCAGAGAAACAATGATTTTATGTATTAATTTTATACTATGTAAGATTTGAGGCTTTCACGGCGGTGACTATGAAGAAAGCAGTCTTCATAATTTTATACTGTTCATATAAATGTGTGAAAGACAGTGAACATTTGAAAACCTGTTGTATATAACATTTGTAGGGTTAGTTTATTTTCTTGAAGTCACTAGTTTTTGTTGAGATCTCCAATCTTACTCCCTTTGTCATTTCT